GTGAAACACTGCTTTATTGTGTGTTTTTTTTTTTTTTTTTTTTGATAAGACATTTTCCAATTTTATTAATCATATTTTGAACATATCATTTCAGGCTTTAATTAATTTCAGTGGCATCGACTGTGATGTTTGGCACTTTTCCGTCTTTCCAGACGATAGTGTTTTATTGTTATGTGAGGAGGCGCTCAGCTCTCATCCTTTCTGCAATCATTTCATTCTTAATTCTTATTCCCTTCCCGATGTGCCCACTCCACACAACACGGTCTATGCATTTTGTTCCCACGAGTTTACCTCAATACCTGTATCATTCATACTACACTTGCACACATCTTTATTTCGTAACAGAGATGGCATGATTAAAAAAAAAAAATATGTGATAATGATGACATTATGTGGAACTCAATCAGTCAGGTGCTGTCTGCACAATGAAGGTTTGATGCAATGGACCTTAAACACATAATATCTTTCACCCTTGCTGCACACTCTGTCAAGCTACTGTTTTCCATCTCTTAATAGTATGCTCCCATTTATATCACTATCTACCTCTTGCCTTCAGCCTGTCTATAATGTAGGCCTACTTGGAACTGGGATTAGACCCAATCTCGAACGTAGCGAAAGTTGCTAGTCTGGTTGAACTTACACTGTTGATAAGTGTAAGCAGCATTTGATTATACTTCAAGGTAAACAGTAATGGCGTACCAGTATCAGGTAAAGTGTTGTAGTTGTATTTTAAATTACATCTGAATTTCCTAAAATTATAATTGACAGCTGGCATTTAGTCGTAATAGTAATCTAGTGACTGAAATATTTAATAAATATGCTGTTTGTTTTGACTTTTTCTGTGGCTTTAAATGTTAGTCTTTTAACCTTTTTTTAACGACGGCACACGGACACGGGAGTGTCGGGAGCAAGGTGGTGATTTCATTTCCCTACTGAGTGTTTCCTGATTTCCTGCTGTTGCTTGCTGTTGCAGGAAACACCACTTCGGGAAGCAGTCATGAGTACCTTAATTAAATATACCTTGCAGATTAACAGCGATATCTTTGCCACCAAAAAATGCCATTCTATCTATGATTCTTGAAGTGGCAACACTGCAACAGGCGTCACCAGGCGCCAGCCCTCCTGCAGGCAGATCAGAAGAAACAAATGAAGATGTAACCCCCTTTGTCCGTTGTGTTTTAACTAGATCATATTTGTTCAGAAGCATCTTTTGAAGATGATAGATACGGTTGTGGTTTCTCCTTGATTCCCACCTGTGTTATCCATGGTTTCTCCTTGGTTCCCACCTGTGTTATCCATGGTTTCTCTGGTTGCTGTAAACTGGCAAAAAGTTCTGTTTCTTATTCATCCACTTCTGGACTTTGGTCTTGTTCCAGAACTAGACTTTTGTGTGCACATCTGTTTTACAGATCTGGCTTATTTGTGTGCAAACTGTTGGTTCCTCATATATCAGGCATATACATGCCAACTTTGAAGGAAACATCGCTAATAAGTCTGCTCTTACTGCATGCTTTTTAGAGGACAGTGGGTCTTTTCTATTCTTGTTTCCCCTCACAATGGGACCCCAGAACCCACTTGGAGAGACCACATTTAAATTATAATATTCTTTTAAAACCTGTATTGGAGGTAAAAGTCTTGCTAAGAAAGGGGCAGAATGTGAACAGCAAGAGAATGAAGTAACATACTTTGAGGATAAAAGTACCATCCAATCTATCAGAAGAGAACAGAATCCTGGCCATAGATGACTACTACTTACTTGACCGGCATGGGCAGGTCATCATTTTATGCTTCAGGACAGTACATAACAAACTTAACCAGCATATGCACAGGCTTCATCTAAGTAGTTAACCCTTGTGCCCTTATGGGCTGTGTGTGCAAACTACAGAACATGTCCTGCAAGAATGTCCCTGACATCCCATTGACTTTCAGTCCCAGGGGGTTTAGCATCACAGGCTCAGGTGGTAGTAAAGAGAGTCATAAAATCGACACATTATGCATTCATTGGGCTTCTAGGAAGGAACCTATAAATGTATGATGCGTTCCTTGGGACTCACAGAGTTAAGAAAGGGATCTTGGCCCACTGAGTCAACACTGTACTCAGAGCTGTATGGAACTAAAAGGGAACTCCTAAAAACTTATCACAAGAACATATCTGTCGGTGTAAATGAAAAAGCAGTCACATGAAGAAGAAAAGGAACAGGGAAAAGTTTATCAGCTCAGCTTTAGTCATTCTTCGGGGCCCCATTGCAGGGAAAACAAGAATCAACCCACTGCCTCCCTAACAAGCATGTCGTAAGAGTCGACTAATTGGAGACTTCCTTTAAAGTCGTACTATATCTGCCCGAGAAGCAAGGAACAACCAGCTACACTCAAATGAGCCAGTAAAACAGACGTACATGCAAAACTGAGGTCCTGGCATAAAGCAAAAAGTCCAAATGGATTACCAACTATAACAACCAGGAGTCTACAGCCAATAAACAAAGAAGAAGAAGGTATCAGTAATAGAATTTATTTTGTCTGTTTCATCTCCTCAGGGTTACGGCAGTCCTGCAGGTGTGTATGCAGGTGTTCCAGGATATGGAGTTGCCGGCTTCGCTTCTGCTCCGGCTGGATATCCAGGTCAGACTTATGCTGTTGGTCTTCCAGGTAATTCTTTTTAAATAGCTTTTTGTAAAATCTCTATTTTTGAGGTTTGTTAGCAGACATGCATCCGCATCTTACGGGACTCACCGTGTGGATGTAAGTATGAAAGCTATGCTGTAAAAAGGCACAACATATTTACATCACTCAGAAGAATGATGAAGAAGAATTCTTGTAATTGCAAGTCATAAAAAGATCTACAGAGTGTGAAAATAGGTTGCTTGATAGCCGATGATTCATAGAGAGAAGAAAGGCAATAGAATCAGAAGCAAATAAACAGCATTAGATATTTTGAGCTTACAAATAGCCTGGGCTATTCAACTGGTGGCCTGCGGACCAAATCTGACCCACAGAGTTCTAATAAGTGCCCACGGATCACCTCTATTGTATTGTATTAAAGATCTTTCTATGCTGAAGCTCAGGCCTTATGCTCCCGACGATCCCCACTGTGGGGAAGACAAGAATAGACCCACTCTCTCCCCATCAAGCATCTTGTAGGAGTCGACTTATTGGCGGGCATGTTTTGAAGTCAGAGTGTATCTGCCTGGGATCAAGGATCCAAGGCTATTCACACAAATAAGCCAAGTATGTGAAACCGATGTGCATGCGATACTCTGGTTCTGGAACAAGACTAAAGTCCATAGGTGGAGGAACACCCAGAACTTTCCGCCAGAGTCTGCAGCCAGCGAGTGTGAAGAAGAAGAGGACTTCAGTCACATGCACAAGAGTTCACGGGACGACTACTGGGTTCCTATGAGAGAACTGATGACAACAGGAATGCCATAACGAAGCCAGGTCCAAATGACTGGTATAAAGAGTATGTAATAAGGTGAGTGCAGTTATCACTTTTTACGACAAAGCTTATTAGGGGAGCAGAGGTTCTATCTAGAACCCACTTGGGGACGGGCATTTATTCTGAGGGTATTCGCTTCCTCAACTTAATATTTGTGGCCCATTCTTCTTCTTCTTCTTCGCATTCACCGGCTGTAAACTCCAGCGGTAAGTTCTGGTTGTTAATCCACCTCTGGACTTTAAACATATCAGAACCTGTGTTGTGTGCAAATCTGTTTCACAGAACTGACTTATTTGTGTGCAGACTGTTGGTCCCCTGCCTCTCAGGCAGATGCACTCTTGACTTCGAAGGAACCCCGCAGTTAGTCGACTCTTATGACATGCTTGTTAGGGAGGCTGTGAGTCTGTTCTTGTTTTCTCTCACAATGGGGCCCCAGAGCACACACAGGGACATAAAAAAGTAAAAAAGTAAAGGACCCTTTCCACGCCTTTAGGCGTATAGGGCATATAGGGCTAGACCTATACGGCACAAGATGGGTGATGTGGTCAGCATCAGCCGGCCGCCTCTACTTCCCGGGATTGCACCCGGTACCCACTCATGGCTGGGTCGACCTGGGAGCCAAGGTCATTTTTTTAAGAAAAGTCCGTCTCCGCCAGGGAGCGAACCCACGACCTTCCGATCCGCAGCGCGCGTACACAGGGACATGGCCCATTAATTTTCATGCTCAAAACATTGAACACTTATTCTCTTCCCCCGCTCCTCACCTAACATTTTCTCTCAATACATACATACAAGTGACACAACAGTATGCAACAAACATTTGACAACTTACAGCCAGTTATGTATCTATTTTATTATTAACTGACATAATAGCACCCGGGACATTCCCTTAAGCGCTCCATCCCCATCTTCAGCAGCAAATGCAGAGTTCCAATTCTGATGGCAGCAGTAACAGTCTGATTGTATATCCGTCTTGCCTTTCTCTTGAACATTGGCCAGATCCCCCTAGCCTCTCCTCGCTGCACTATTCCCCCCTCCCCCACCCAAGATTGTGATGATCTATTTCTGTCTCCAGATTGTTTACTCACTCCCAAAAGGCCCTTACAGCATCTACCTTATCGTCTTTATCAGTTTACCTTCAAGTGGTAGAGAACAAGCCAATCTGTCTTTCATGTCTCAACACTTGGGCATGACACGGAGAAAATATCCAAGGGATACAAACTACCCAGGATCTCTGAAGGGTTGCTTGCCACTCTGTACAGAGCATACCTGTCTCCACCTTGCTCAACATGTTCTGTAAATCGGTTATAATTGTATCTCTTCTATCTTCTTCTTTGCGTTCACTGGCTGTAAACTTCAGCTTGTTTGTCCACCTCTGGACTTTAGTCTTGTTCCAGAACCTGAGTGTTGCATGCACATCTGTTTAACAGATCCGACCTAATTGTATGCAAATTGTTGGTTCCTTGCCTCTCAGCAGATGCACTCCAACTTTGAAGGAAGCCCCCAGTTAGTTGACTCTTACGACTTGCTTGTTGAGCAGGTAGTGTCTGTTTTTATTTTCCCCACAATGGGAAACAATTGTATCTATTTTGTGCTCTTGCTTACACTAGGTTACAGCCAACCCCCAACCATTGATCCTCAAGTACAGCAGTGGTTTATGTCGGTGGATACAGATCGCTCTGGCAGGATCACCGCCCGGGAGCTACAGAGAGCATTGGTGAACACTAACTGGACACAGTTCAATGACGAAACCTGCCGACTCATGATAGGTGAGAATTCTTCTTCTTCTTCGCGTTCACCAGCTGTTGTAAACTCTAGGGGAAAGTTCTGGTTGTTGATCCACTCCTGGACAGCAGTCCTGTTCCAGAAGTGTTGCATGTGCATCCGCCTTACAGATCTGACTCATTTGTATGCAGACTGCTGGTTCCTTGCCTCCCAGGCAGATTCACTCTCCAACTTCGAAGGAAGCTCCCAATTAGTCGACTCGTACGACATGTTTTTGGGTAGGGAGTGGTTCTATTCTTGTTTTTTCTATAATAGAGCCCCAGAACCCACACATGGTAGGTGAGAATTAACTTTTTTCTTCTTTTTTCCAACTCCCTCTTCCCTTTCTTCCCCCCTCCTCCATCTTTCTTATTCTCCCATCCTCCATATTCTTCTTCTTCGTCCCTGATAGATCGTAAGCCTTTTTCTTCTTCCATCTATCCCCTGATAGATCAAAAGCCAACATATGCCAAATCCACCCTCATGAAGCCACTTTTGCACCACATTTTGCATGTCTAAGTCCGAGACAAATGGATGACCTCTTCATGCGCTACACTTGTTTGACCCTGTTAAACTTCTTGATCCACACAAACAGTTTTACATGATAGTGCACTTCCCCTATATTGTGATGATATGTGTTTCCCGACACGCCGACATGACCTGGAGATTATGTTTAAAGGATGCCAACTACCTGGGACCTCTGAAGTGATGCTTGCCACTCTCCATGGAGCAGACCTGTCTCCACCTTTCTCAACGTGCTTTGTGAGTCAGTTACAATCACAGCATGTGTGTACAGCTTATGTTCAAGCCAGCAGTGACTGCCTCCACCTCTATTCTCAAACTAGACTTTATTATATCATCTGCCAGGCTTTTTTGCACTAAGCAACATCCATTTGCTTTAGCTATGAACCCTAATGTACTTTGTCTGCCCTTCAACAGAGCCATTTGTATAGATAATTACATCACTTGGGCGGGAATTGTCATGAATCAATAAAAGTGTTGACACTGTAAGAAGTGTAGATAATTTTGACTTCCACTTGAATGTACGTACGTACATACATACAAATTTAAGTGAATTTAAATAATGCTTACATAAACAGTTCAGTTTATTAATGGCAAGATCTGTAAAATGAATGTGCACTCAAAACTAAATTCTGGAACAAGACAAAAGTCCAAAAGTGGGCATACAAGCAGAACTTTCTGCCAGAGTTTACAGCTGGTGAACCCTTTTCAATAAAATAGACAAATCTAATGTTACTCTAAATATATCCCCTCCAAATGAATTTCAAGATAAATCATAATTTGATCCTTTTGTTTACACAACACAGAGCAGTTATAATGTTGGACTCTAATCAAGAGACATGTGTTTAAGTCCATGATTAGTTAATCAACATTTGTTTTGGTTAGGGGTAGGGGGGTTACCATGGTGTAGCGGCGAGATTCTCACCTATAGATCAGAAGGTGGTGGGTTCAGGTACTGACGGAGCCAGTATTTTTCAAAAGTGACCTTGGCTTCCAGGTTGGCCCAGCTTTAAGTGGGTACAAGGTAAACGTCTTGGGAAGTAAAGGCGGCTGGCATGATGCTGACCACAGCACCCACTAAATATAGGTCTAGCTCTTCCCCGTGTGGGTTCCGGGGTCCCTATTATAGGGAAAACAAGAATAGACCCACTGCCTGCCCAAAAGCATGTCGTAAGAGTTGACTAAGTGGGAGCTTCCTTCAAAGTTGGAGTGCATCTGCCTGAGAGGCAAGGAACCAACAGTCTGCACACAAATGAGTCAGATCTGTCAAATGGATGCACATGCAACTTTCAGGTTCTGAAACAGGACTGCAGTCCACAAGTGGATGAACAACAAGAACTTTCTGCCGGAGTTTACAGCTGGTGAAAGCAAAGAAGAAAAAGAAGAAGATAGGTCTTGCTCTGTATGCTGAATAAACCTGAAGACATTATAAAAAGAAAAAAAAAGATCTTTTACTCTGCTTTACTTACACCTTTGTATGTTTTTTCTTCAGGCATGTTCGACAAGGATTTCAGTGGTACCATTGACCTGTATGAGTTCCAGGCGTTGTGGCACTATATTCAGCAGTGGAAACAAACATTTGACCGCTACGACATCAACAGATCTGGCTCCATCGAAGGTCCAGAGCTCCAGCAAGGTAACTGATGTTTTAGAATCCTCCTGCATCACTTTTGTCTTTATCCTTCCTCTCCTTGTTCTTCTTACTCCTCTTTACTTCTGTCTACACAGTTTCATATTATCCTCGAGTGATGGCCCCTGGCATATCCCGGGATATTTATTTTCCCGGCCCCCACCTGCCTCGCCAGACTGTTGTCTTGACATCGACCTGGCTGCCACGAGATATGAAGATAAGGGATACTGTGTATTTGTCTAGTATTGTCTAATCTATGTATGTACTAAAGAAGGCTCCATAGCCGCAACGTTCACATTTTGTTTGTGTTTATTATATTGTGAAGCTCACTGAAATCTTTCCCTCTTTTCTTCATGATAATGAAATAAGACAACTTCTGCAAACAGTGCTCTGGTGTTGGTGTGCATATAATGAAAGCAAATCTAAAAAGAAATATCCCTGTCTGGGTCTTCGGGGACTCGCTGTGGGGAAAACAAGAATAGACCCATTACCTTCCTGAACAAGCATGTTGTAGGATTCAGCACTTTTTCTTCGCATTCACCGGCTGTAAACTCTGTAGGAAAGTTCTGGTTGTTCATCCACCTTTGGATTTTAGACTTGTTCTAGAACCTGAGGGTTGTGTGCACATCCGTTTTACAGTTCTGACTTTGTATGCAGACTGTTGATTCCTTGCCTGTCAGGCAGATGCACTCCAACTTTAAAGGAAACCCACAGTTAGTCTACTCTTACGGCATTCTCTCGGGAGGGAGTGGGTCTGTTCTGTTCTTATTTTCCCCCATAATGGGGCCCCCAGAACACATGAGGAATAGGATGCAACTAATTGGGGGCATCCTTCTCAAAGTCAGAGTACATCTGCCTAACAGGCAAGGAACCAACTGTCATACAGGTAAGACAGATGGAACCAGATCAAAGAAACATACAAAACAACAAGCAACAACATATTAGAAACCAGAAAACAACACCACAAAGAATGGATAGTCAGTCAAACCAGGGAAATATTCTCATAAATTACACATTGCTGCATTAATTGAAGAAGGTTGGCTAATGGATCACGCAGACGTTGTTATTGCCCTTAAGAGATCGGACGTTCTGAGGATTTTGGAAGCAATGTGTTCACATCACTGCTAAGAATACGAGAATTGGGAGTTAAGGTCGGCACAGCCAAGCATGAGGAGCGCACAAAGTCTTGTTAACCAACATAGGACTGGCACTACTAACCGTGCGACGCTGATGAATGTGTTGAGAGGGGAATCTGAGCGCCTTTGGATGTGTCTGGAGTGCTGTGAAGATAATCTAACTCATAACTCAAGTCACAAATCAAGAAACTCTAGAAAGTATGATAACCAATAGAAAATGGAAATGGCCACGTTATGAGATTGAATCCTGATATACCTGCCAAAACAGCTGTCACTTGACACCAGATGGAAAGAGAAAGAAGGAGCGCCCAAAAATAACATGGAGACGAACGATGGAAGGAGACCTGAGTGTTGCATTTCTGACAAGGAAAACTGCACTGAAGATTGCACAGGACAGGAAAGCATGGAAAGTCCTCTCTGAAGTCTCATGTGCCACTAGGCATAAAGATAAAAACGCTGATTATGTCTGTCAGAAGTGAACAGATTCAGGCCAACACTTACTTGACTGGCATGTTCCGGGGACCCATTTTAAGAGAAAATGGTTGACTCCCTAACCCTCTAATAAGCACATCGGTAAAAGGTGACTAATTATTGGAGTGGCAGGCATCACTTTCAATGTCCCGGGTTGTTAGCATCCTTTGGATATTTTCTCCAGGTCATGCCGGTGGGTTGGGAAATGAGCAGGCAGATAGACTGGCTGGGTCTGTGCCACTTGGTGGTGAATTGATGTATGACAAGTTAGATATTGTGAGGGTCTTTTGGGAGCGGGTGAACAGTGCAGAGGCACAGGCAGACCATTGCAGTCTGAGGAGAATGGTGCTGCGAGGAGTTACCAGGGGATCTGGCAGACGCTCAACACTCAGGGGAAGGATGAGACGGATATACAATCAGACGGTTACTGGAACAATCGGAATTAGAAGTCTTCGCTTGCTGCTGAAGATGGGGCCTGAGCACTTATGGGGGTGTCCTGAGTGCTGTGATGTTGATTCAAAATTTTTTGGTGGTTCTTCTACGGTGGGTAGCTGCCCGAAAGGCAAGAAACACAAAATCTGTATACAAATTATAAATATCTGAAGAAAAAAAAAATGAATTGAAGAAGTGGAGATTCAAAGTATTTAGATTAATTATCTCATTACCTGAATAGAGAAGGCATGTGAAATGAATTCTTAGAAATGGACAGCAGTGGTGCCAATCAAGTAAAAACAATTGTAAGATAAGTACAAAATGTCATCTATCAAACATCTTCATGTGTGTCTAACATCCTTGAATTTGGTGTCATTTACATATTTTGTAGTTCCATTCCTGATCAATAATTTAGATATATTCTGTGCCCGGCTCTCTAGCGTAATTGGCTAAAACCGGATTGCGCGGTGACCAGGTGACGAACTCCTTGTGGTCCGGGTTCACTCCCAGGAGTAGGCAGAAAAGCCACATTTCTCCCAGATTTGCGGTATTTACAATGGAATCAAGGCCGAAAGGTTGCAATATCCATAATACCGAGCCTAAGGGTTAACAACTCATGGCTTCTGGATACTAAAACAAAACAAACAAGATATATTCTGTATTCATTTCTCTTTAACTTGATATGTTATATATATATATATATCACTATACAGCCAATATTTTTTTTTTCAAGTAGGTTTTAGCTGTGTCATGTTGTAGTTAAAAAATTCAGCTCAAAATTAATTCTGTCTAAACGCCATAAAAAATTATCCTGAAAGCTATTGATACTTATTTATGGTAGACCTGTGTAGTCATGTTTGTTTATTTTCCTCTGCAGCTTTCATGACAATGGGCTATAATGTGTCGCCACAGTTTGTCCAGACAATTGTGATCAAGTTTGACCATTTTGGACGTCGCTGCCTGACGCTGGACAACTTTATACAGGCCTGTGTCATGTTGAAATCACTGACCGATGCATTCAGACAGAGGGACACTACCATGTCTGGTTATGTTCGTTTGTCTTACGAAGACTTTATGAGTTTGGCTGTCTTATATAAACCTTAAGATTTTGTACCAGTTCTTCCTGTTGTCCAGTTGGTTCTTACATTAACACACTTGCCATGCTGCTCTAAATCTTTAGGTTTGGAACCCCTTACCATACTTTACCATATAAGCCCATAACAAGTAAAACAGATGTGCATGTAAAATTCAAGTTCTAGTATGTTGCATGTCAAAATAAGAATTGACATCACATCACTGGGGACACTCCCATAAGCGCTCCATACCCCATCTTCAGCAGCAAGCGAAGAGTTCCAGTTCCAATGGTACCAGTAACTCTAAAAGTACATCCGTCTCGCCTTTCCATTGAGAGTTGAGCGTTGGCCAAAACTCCTGGTAACTCCCCGCAGCCCTATTCTCCTCAGACCATGATGATTTAAGAAAGTTCTGGAACAGGACTAAAGTCCAGGAGTGGATGAACAGCTAGAACTTTTCTGCCGGTGAACATGAAGAAGAAGAAGAAAAGGAAGAAGACAGCCCAAAAAAGTTGTACATGTTTAGTAATGATTCAGTCAATTAGATGGCATTTCAACAAAGAAGGTTGGCTGCATTAAACCTTCTTCTGCATTTTTTGTCTCACCTTTGTCACAGACTGCTGTTTATTAATCTCTTGAAATTATCCTCTTCTTCTTAAAGTCCATGCCATGTGGCATTGGAAGTAATTTCTTCCCATAACCTTCTGTCCTGTGTACTTTCAGTTAACTCTTGACACAGATGATCCCCATGCCATGTGGCGTTGGAAGTAATGTCTTCCCATAACCTTCTGTCCTGTGTACTTTCAGTTAACTCTTGACACAGATGATCCCCATGCCATGTGGCGTTGGAAGTAATGTCTTCCCATAACCTTCTGTCCTGTGTACTTTCAGTTAACTCTTGACACAGATGATCCCCATGCCATGTGGCGTTGGAAGTAATGTCTTCCCATAACCTTCTGTCCTGTGTACTTTCAGTTAACTCTTGACACAGATGATCCCCATGCCATGGTGTCAGACTGTCTAGCATCTGTTCTCTCGGTCTCCCTCTGCCTATCTTCCTACTGTCAGAGACCTTTTTTTTTCTAGGTTGACCATGAAGAGGTATAGATATATCTGACCCAGTTTGAGCCCTGGTCTTAGTGCACCACTGTGTGTTTTAGTAGTATACTGATCAACTTTAGTCTTCTTCTCATTTGTTCACCGGCTGTAAGCTCCGGCGGAAAGTCCAGGTTGTTCGTCCATTTTGACTTTGGCGTTGTGCCAAAGTTTTGCGTGTACATCCATTTTACTGACTTATTTGTGTGCAGTTGGTTGTTCCTTGCCGCTCTGGTAGATGCAATGCGTCATGCTTGTTGGGGAGGTAGTGGGTGTATTCTTGTTTCCCCCTTGATGGGGCGTCAGAACCCACACAGAGATGGTTGACTTTACTTTTCAGCAACATTTTTTTTTCCATCCTTTTTTTTTCTCTGCCAGGTGAGGTTTTTTTTTAAGAACACCTACTCTGATAGGTTTTAAACTCGTTACCATAAGGTCAGAAGGCAGGTATGCTGGGCACTTTACTACTTCAGTTTCTTTTTCTTTTCATTTACAGCTTTTCTGGAAGTGTTTAATTTTTTCTCCACAAAATAACAATTTTTGTTTCGTATTCAAGGAGCCTCAATTAAATAATTGAATTGCTTCCTTATTGTCTATAGCTCAGTATGTAGTTGCATGCTTGGCTCGTCTGTCCTAGAAAAATAAATGTAACTGTTATAAATGATTACTTCAGCTGACTTTATTTGTGTGTTATTTCTGTTTTTGTTTGATTCTTTTGGGAGGAGCTGTGGCCACCTGGTCAGAAGCTGGGCCCTCTTTTGGGAGACGCAAGTTCGAATCTTCAGAAATGACTTTTGGGAGGGTTGGGGGTGACAAATAAATTGATGTTTTTCACACCAGGTGCATCATTCTCTCCAGCCCATCTAGTTTCTCTTCTGACTTCTTGACTTGCATGCATCAATTCACCACCCAGCGGTGCTGACCCAGCCAATCTGTCTGTCTGTTCATTCCCCACCACACCGGCATAGCCTGGAGAACAGATTAAACATTGAGACTGCAATGTCCAACAAATGCCTGCAGAAGTCGGATGTGTCGGCCAAAAGGTGCAAATATCACAGCCATGCTGTAAACGGGCACAATACATTTACGTCTTCAGATAAATACAGAAGAGGAAAACTTAGTGCATATTCTACACATTCTTTAATTTACCTTTTAAAGGGTGGTTGACCTGTTGCAGTTTACAGCTAGGCTGCGATATCTACACATTTTGGCCAAACACATCCTATTTAAGCAAAACATCTAATTTAGCCACCTTGATGACGTTGTTAGGGAGAGTGTTTCTTTTTCCTGCCCAAAATAGGACCCCAGAACCCAAACATAAAACCAGCTAAGCATATACTGATTAGTTTTATCCACAGTTTTAACAACTGGAAGTATCCTTAGAATCCCTTGGACAACTAAAAAAGAGCAACCCATTTGTTTTGAAAGAGGTGAGGGCTTGAAGACAACCTATCACAAACTCAGAAAGAAAGAGACAGTCATAAATTGTTTGTCAAGTTATGAGAAGAAAGCTAGAACACATGACTGCTGGAATGATCTTTGGAAAACGAGACAGAGAGAAGATTCTTGATAGACTTTTGTCGTGGCATGAAGGGGTATCAGCACTCGAACAGACACATGCTGGTAAAGGTCGCAGATTGTTAAAGGGAATGATCGCCCATGCCAGTCCGCAAGACATTTGATGAGGTATTGATGAGTTATTGTAATTTAACAACTGCTTGGAGCAGAACGTGTTACAACTGTGAAGAATGTAAGGTAACACAATTGCATGCCTTTTCTCCACACACAAACAGTGTGTATGTTTTCTTACAGCCAACCATTTTCTGTTAAGTATTTGCTCTGCATTTTGCTATGTGTGTGAAGTATTGTTTGCATATTTGCATGCCTGTAAAATTCAAATATATACAACAGGAATTGTTTAATTTGAATTTTTAAAAAACGTATTAGCCACAACTGAATCATAGATTTCAATAAAAGTTTTTAATTCTTGCATGTGTCTGGGCACAAAAGTGTGTGTTTCCATAACTGTTGCACTTGGCAAGGAATTGTGAATTTCATTGCTGTTCTTCGTCTAAGTAGTTCACCTTTTTGCCCTTGTGGGCTATGTGTGCAGACTACAAGAACATGTCCTGCAAGACTGTCCCTTGTTCAGCCCATTAAGAAAGGAATACTGGCCCAGTGAGTCACCACTGTACACAAAGTTGTATGGGACTAAAAATGAACTCATTAAAACAGTCAAGTTTATCACAAGAACCTGTCTGTCGGTGTAAATCAGAAAGCGAACACAAGAAGAAGAAGAAATTGCTGTTCACAATTAATGGCAATATATTTTGAGGAGAAATGAACAGAAACACCAAAATGGGAACAGATTAAAGAACGTTCAAGAGAAACCTTGAGATGGATGCTGTTGAGAGGCCAAGTGGTGCTAAACTGGATTCTATCCTTGATACTGAGACTATGACATAGGATGAAGGGAGGACTGTAGTGCGTTTCAAGGCCATACCTAGAAGATTCTACCTCACTGGCATCCTCAATTTTGTGGATCGATGGGCAACAGGTGCTGCAAGGCAGGGGGACTGTCGAGAAATTGAACAGAACAATTTTGTTTCAGCCACTTGTAAAATATTAATGCAATTGCTTTTATGGTACTTGTAACGTTGTTGGGCCCAGAAAGGAAGTGACTTCCCTTGTAATTAATGCCTGGTAGTGTCGCAGGTCCTGTTCTATGTTGTGGGGGTGTGGCACTTAGTGACTGACATTGTTGTCACCAGCTGGCAATATCGTGTGTTCTATATTCCACAATGTGAGCGCTAGCCCAACCCACCCCCCCCCCCCTTACGCCACAGCCTCAGTCTACGTACCATGCGAAAGTGCAGCCTATGAAATCAATGCCTGAAGTACGTCGTGTTGCTAAACGCTCACTATTTGTGACACCCCCCTGCAACATAGGACAGGCCCTACTATTTGACCAGACCTGAATGGCAGGGAAAGTCAATCTCTTTCTAGGACCACGCTAGAGTACAGCCTACATCCCACTACTGTATGCAGCCTATGACAACAATGCGGAAGTATGCTGTGTTGCTGGACGCTCATAAAGCATGACACCCCCGCAACATGAGACAGGCCCTGTGATATGGCCAGGCATGAATGGCAAGGGAAGTCGCTCTCTTTCTGGGCCCGACTTTGTTACTTAAACCACTTTTATTTAATTAGTTTTCCCCTGTAATCTGATGATGTTTATGATTATTAATCTAGGCTGTTTGTGAGTGGACATCATGGTTTTATTTTTAAACACAGGAGCTGTTTGTATGATAAAAGGGATGAATAAATATTATTTGGTTTTATAAACATCATTTACATTGCATGCTTAAGTAAAACTACAGTAATAACAACAACATACATGATGATCTTTATTGAATTTGGTGAAAAAAGTAAATGTTTGTAATAAGAAATGTAATATTTACAACAAAAAGGAACAAACAGTAAAGCCAGTTCATCTGAATTATACATACTCTCAAGTCAAGATATATGATGGAATGAAACTATTAAAAAATTAGATCTCAGCCAACAAAACAAAACAGTTTTACTCCCAGTGTAGGGGAAACAAAGAAAAGACCCACTGCCCCTCCAACAAGCATGTCGAAATGACGACTAATTATGGGTGTTTTCTTCGAAGTCTAACCGCATCTGCTAGAGCGGTGAGGAACCAACAGTCTGCATACAAGTATAAGCCAGATATATAAAATGGGTGTTTACGCAAAATTCAAGTTCAATACAAGATCAAAGTCTAAAAGTGGACGAACAACCTTAATTTTCCTCTGTAAACATGAAGAAGAAGAAAGTTTTACAGAAATCCATTGGTGTAATTTATTTAACTGTACATATAATGTCTCATTCTGTTAGGAAAAGCACGCATTAGCAGCAAAATTATCGTCATAATCTTGTAGCAGGTCATTGGTCAGAAAAAATGTCCTTTTGTGGGTTTCAGGGCCCATTTTGTGTTGGGTAAGGAGAAGAAAAGATCCACTGCTCAGTGTATCATAAAAGGCTGCTGACAACCAGAAGACACTCTTTTTGAAGGCAAATGTAAAAACAAGAAAAGCCTGCCAGAAAGATTATCTGTTCCTTGATAACAATGATTACCTCCCCTTTCCTTGGTGTCTCTTGTTTCAGTATTTATTTTAACTCAACAGGAAAGAACAAACATCAATTTTTTAGACTTTGGACTGGACACTGGTCTTCGAGCACACCTGTACAGGATAGGCATGAAAGAATCTGCTGCCTGTGATTGTGAAGCAGAAAGACAGACCCCTGAGCACATACTACAGTACTGCCCTAACCTTTCCCAGCAAAGACTGGATCTGGCCCAAGGGAGCCACATTGCAAGAGAAGCTATGGGAGGCCGGTGGCGACCTTAAATGCACAATCCTATTTGTGACCTAGACAGGACTCAATGTTTAGCATGACTGATGTCGAACGCAGAAGAAGTGTTTATTCTAGTCAACCCCTGCCTCCCACTTGATGCAATATTTGGACTTCTGGTCAAATACAATGATTAGACAAGCTAGCTGGTTTTTTAGTTGTGGCAAGTTATTCAGTGGCACAGAAATAGAACGACCCCCTTTGCTGTGAAGTTGAAACTGATTACCATACATTATAAAACATCAGGCCCGGCTCACTAGCATAGTTGGCTAAACCAGACTGTGCGGTGACCGGGTATGAACTCCTTGTGGTCTGGGTCACTCCCAGGGGTAGGCAGAAAAGCCAAATTTCTTCCAGATTTACTGTATTTATCATGGAATCAAGGCCGAAGGGTTGCGATATCCATAATAACTCATAGCTTCTGGATACTTAAAAAAAACACCAGAGTCCGGTCAAAGTATGTTGGTTTCCAAGACAATTGTGCGCAGTAGTCTTGTTCTGTACGTCCTCTTTTACCGCTTGGGTTGTCGAAGGAGATATAACATCCTGCTTCGTGCTTTTCTGGCTGCTTTGACCAAAGACACATTGTGGTACTGTAGAGTTTCTCTGATGTTATCCTTCCATATGTTCTTGATCTACCTCCGTCTCCTCTTTTGGTATATGCCTTGAATGGTATAGCATCAGAAAGCATTCTCTCCAAGTGGGCAAACCATTGGATTTGCTGTTTTTCTACGTAATTTAGAACTGGTTCTGTGCCGACTTTATCTCGCATGACCTCATTCCTGATTTTATCTTTTCTAGTCACTCTTACAGCCTTTCTCAGACACTTCATTTAGGTTACTATTTTTCTGTTGTGAGTGACCATGTCTGACACTCATAGAATAGGGTGGGAATGAATATGCTTTGTATGAGATGTCACTTTGTGCTGACTGGGATTGCCTTATGCTGCAAGAGGGGGACTAGCTGTCCCAATACTTGGCCAGCTATACCGCATCAAATGTCAATTTCTTCATCTAATATATCATGTTCAGTTAATGTTGTTCCAGTGTGCAGTAGGAAATTAACTAAACTGGCAGCTGACAAAATTATGACTTAACATTCCAGAATTTGTCCTCCCCTCTCCTTTATCTTCAGTACAGCATAGGACCTCAACCAGCCCATGCCACCATCCATGTAAGTTCTTTGCAGAATTTTTTACCATGATCTTCCTGAAAGAAACTCAAGCACTTTATTACCCTAGGTGTCACTTAACCTGTGCCTATCTTTGCACTGGTTGCTGCCCTCTGCACAACTTTCCTGGTACCGTGCCTTTTGCTTTTTTTTTCCAGTCTGCTGCAGCGGATGATGAGATGGCTAAAATATTTCAATTATGCTTTCAGTTCAGATCATATTAGGTCCGCGCCTGTGATGGCAGTTGTGCCTGCATTCTAGTGAGATGACCGAACCATTTAGTGTTCTGCTTCTCAACGAATTAAAGCAGTGAAGACTTCTGATTCTAAACGGAGGATTAGGCATGGCAGAATGTTTAGCCCTTAAGTTATTTTTGCTTTGACAGCACTTTACTAATGCAGTTCCACATATGGACTATGGTTTTGTTGCCTGAGCTCAGTGCTTGGTGCAGCACTGTGGCCTGTGTTTTTTATGTAGAATGCCTTTTATTTGTGCAGCTGTTGTGTCCTGGTATTTAGTATAGCCGGTTTATGTGTGAGCTGGCAAAATACCTTGCGTAATAATTTTAAGTTTGTATAGCCAGTTATCGAGCTTGACTACTTCCATCAATGACAAACAGCATTTCTAGTGACGACTGTTGGCTTTAGCACCTCTAGCGACTACCATATGCATTTACTGCCTGCAAATATTTTCTGACTGTACAGGGACTAACCGTGTTCACCAGTTTTTTAAATGCGACAGTGAGGGACATTTCATCTGATTTTTCACTGGCGCAGGAACGGAACAATTATGGAGAAACTCAATTGTAGTGAAGTGGAAATCTTGACTAAGACTTCTCAATGGATTTGGTTCAATGTGTTGCTCCCACATACACTTACATAACATATAACAAAGTATACACACCATCATTTATCACCAAGGGGCTTGAAATAAAAACCTTAAATGTGACATAGACACTACAAAAACCAAGCCATTGTCTTGTAACCACCAATTTTGTCTTTAAACTGTCAATATGGTGTTACTATGTTCATTTGCATCGAGATCTGACCTGCTTAACACTTAACAATAATATAAGACAGTGGTATGGTTACTGTAATTTCTATCACATTTTAAGGTTTTCATCTGAAGCCCCTCATCCTATATATAGAAAGTTATTGTTATAACCCTGAAGCTTCTTACATTGAAACGGAGTTATCAGTAATAAACATTTCTGCTTACAACACATAGTAACGTACGACATATTAAATTCAAATGGAATGTTTATTCAGAGCCTGGAATGTAAAACTTCAATTCATTCACAAACGCTACATGCATACAACGAAACATAGCAGGAACAATTCAGCCTAAATAAAAGATCTCTTCATTACAAAATTTGCTGGAAAACCCATTCATATGTCAAAGTTCACAGATGAAAGCGACAAAATTCTACTCTTAAAAAAATAATTAACAAATTTTTAACACAATTCTCACCAGCAAAACGAAATTTTATAATTTGCTTCTCTCACAGATTCTCCCTTTAATTAACATATTAGCACTAAAATCTTGGGTTAGGCTTCACAGCATAAGCAGGTCCTCGGTTTGCTTTGGTTTCCTCCTCTTTGATTCTCATGTAATCTGTCGTAAGGCACATGGCTGAAAATATGGCGAAGAAGCCGGACAAACAGGCAAAGCCAAATGACCAGGACAGGAAGTTGGAGTCTGGGTTCGGCAACCACTGTCTGTCAATGTCAGCTTTGATTCCAAATATCGTCACCGATGTTCCAATTAGGGCAACTAAAACAAAGAAATATATTACAGTTTTAGCCGATACTGGAGGTCTAGTAGTGAGGTATCTTTCGCTGTCAATAGAGGGGGCTGTGTGGTCTCAAGGCATGGTATCCGCCTAGAGGTGCCGGGTTCAATCACCGGTAAGGGCTGGTATTTTTCACGTGGACTTGGACTTCTAGTAATTCCACCTGGTCTCTGGGCAGTGAGATCGGACGCCCATCTGCATTGTTGCACACATTTTACCAAAAAAATCCCTTGGCAGCTGGAAATCGAAAATAGTAGCCTAACGGTGCTGCTCTGGCAAAAATTTTGAGCTAAAAATATACCTTAAGTATTTCAGGACCCTCGCCGGTGCTACAGAGCTTGTGCAATGTGCTGAGCTTCTTCCGATGAAATGAGTTGGGAAAAAACAGAGTACTTATGGGTTACTACCCATGTGCCTTGATGTTGATCCGTTGTTCAAACCTCAAACCTCTTTATCAATATATGGGAGGTCCTGTAGTGATTTCTTTATCAATATATGGGAGGTCCTGTAGTGATTTCTTTATCAATATATGGGAGGTCCTGTAGTGATTTCTTTATCAATATATGGGAGGTCCTGTAGTGATTTCTTTATCAATATATGGGAGGTCCTGTAGTGATTTCTTTATCAATATATGGGAGGTCCTGTAGTGATTTCTTTATCAATATATGGGAAGTCATGTAGTGATTTCTTTATCAATATATGGGAGGTCCTGTAGTGATTTCTTTGTCAATATATGGAAGGTCATGTAGTGATTTCTTTGTCAATATATGAGAGGTCCTGTAGTGATTTCTTTGTCAATATATGGAAGGTCATGTAGTGATTTCTTTATCAATATATGAGAGGTCCTGTAGTGATTTCTTTGTCAATATATGGAAGGTCATGTAATGATTTCTTTATCAATATATGGGAGGTCCTGTAGTGATTTCTTTATCAATATATGAGAGGTCCTGTAGTGATTTCTTTGTCAATATATGGGAGGTCATGTAGTGATTTCTTTGTCAATATCTGGGAAGTCATGTAGTGATGTCTTTATCAATATATGGGAAGTCATGTAGTGATTGCTTTGTCAATATATGGGAAGTCATGTAGTGATGTCTTTATCAATATATGGGAAGTCATGTAGTGATTTCTTTGTCAATATATGGGAAGTCATGTAGTGATTTCTTTATCAATATATGGGAAGTCATGTAGTGATGTCTTTGTCAATATATGGGAAGTCATGTAGTGATGTCTTTGTCAATATATGGGAAGTCATGTAGTGATTTCTTTGTCAATATATGGGAAGTCATGTAGTGATTTCTTTATCAATATATGGGAAGTCATGTAGTGATGTCTTTGTCAATATATGGGAAGTCATGTAGTGATGTCTTTGTCAATATATGGGAAGTCATGTAGTGATTTCTTTGTCAATATATGGGAAGTCATGTAGTGATTTCTTTATCAATATATGGGAAGTCATGTAGTGAGGTATTTATGTTCAAAAAGAAAACAAGGGAGAGAATTATTTACGTAAATTTTACAGTAAAAAAACATAATTTCACAACATAAGCTATTCACCATATGAGCTCACTCAAGGGACAGATTAAATTCATATCTTGAGGTTGCACTGAATTTAACAAAAAAAAAGTTTTGGCTGTACTTACAAGCTGCCCACATGATGCAGGCGCTGGTCAGTACGTGTTTCCGCTCCTTCTCCCTAGGCAAGCAGCGTACGTAGTACATAATGTTCATCACCACGTTCACCATGTAGAGCATCAGCCCCAGGGTAATCATGATTTGAACAGCCAGAAGCCAAGCTGAAAACAACACAGGAGAGATGGGTAAGTAATCGACAAATGTTAGCACGGTTAGAGTACTGGTGGGGTCTCACATGTGAGACAGGGGTTCGATCCTTGGGTACTGATATTTAAGGGATAAAGATTTCTGCTGGGCCAAAAAAAAAAACTTCTGACACGCAGTCTGTGCTGGATGCAAGGGAGCCTTACATCCTTAGTCTCTCGATCCTCCTGTCCGACACTGACCTGATACTGCAGTCTTACAGATGTCCACCTTTGCTGAACTATGAATAACGGTCCAAAATTATCGACGCTGAAAAAATACCCTTACAGTGCCGCAACAATTGTGACTGTGCTGCCAGGAAACTGTGCAGAATAGCCAGTAAACAACACGCGACTAGTGCCGCTGTGGTAATGTCGCATTTGCATAAGTTCCATCCATAGCCCTTCAATCGATAGTGTCACAGTTCCACTGTTGTGACAAATTCTGGTGGCCGTGTCGTAATTGCAATACTCCTTGCCCTAACCCTAGAACCCAGGGAAGAAGTTAAATATAGCACTCAGTGTCAGAGCTATTGAAACTCTCGATGATTTGGGACCGTTATTCGTAGGAGTGTTTCCAGCAGTATGCAGTACATTCGCCGGAAAGAATTGGGCAATTCGCATATGATTGAGGCCCTGTTGAAGTATTTTCTTAGCTTCGATAATTTGGGACTGTTATTCGGAGGATAGCGGATACCTTCGTCTAAATCGCACATTCTCACATATCATTACACTTGGTGGTTTTCGGGAATAGAACCCTGTTGCTGTCGATGCCAAGGTCCACGCGCTTATCAGTGACAAGTCAGGTGAGGCTGATGTGCTGATTTACACAGACAGGTCCATTGTACAAGGACAAAAGAGTACATGGGGAATTCACAGCTCACTCTTCAGGCAGAACAATCCAGGAAGCTAGTGGTGCCTTCTCCATGACTACTAGCAGCATGACGATGGAGGTGATACAAGTCTTCATGTAGCTGGAATCACAGGACTATTTCTGTGCGTTACCTGTCTGTGCAGTTACCTTCAATTTTTGTCCCAGGAACTGTTGGCAATAGAAAAGCTGACAGACTGGCCGGTTCTGCCTTAGTTGCAGATAGCCAGACTACAGATTGCGCTGATTTTGTTAACAGTCTTAGAGAGATCCAAGGATTTTGGAAGCAGCATGTCCACATCCAAGGTATTCTAACATCCGTCTCGGAAACCACATCTCTGTTGCTTCCAAATTCTTCCTAATTTTTTCAGTGACATTCCAAGATTTGCTGCCATACAGCAGAACAGGTTCTATGTAACATTTTAGCACCCCGAATGTTACGAATACCTTGGACGGCCAGACTAATTAACAACGATTGCTTGAAAGAAGCTAATGAAAGTAGATTTCTATATACAACAATAAGAAAGAGACAAACACTACTCTTTTGCCAAATGATGAGAAGAGAGACATTGGAGAACATTGTGACAACTGGAAAGATCAGTGGAAGAAGCAGGCCAAGAGAGATGATGCTGGATGAGCTAAAACAATGGCATGGAGGGATATCATAAAGAAAGCTGTTCCAGGCAACCAGGGATCGTTACCTGTGGAGACGCATAAGTGCCAACGCAAGCTGGCAGGGCACATGATGATGATGATGATATCCACATTACTGCTAATATGAGAATCGGGAGTAAAGATCGGCACAGCCACTCTCAAGCATGAGAGAAACAGCATAGGACTATACTAAGTACAGGACGCTGACGTATATTATGCTGAACAGGAAATCTGAGCTGAGCACCTATGAACGTGTCCGGAGTACCGAGAAGATAACTCATAAAACTGGACTCACACTTCCCCGTGTGGGTTCCGGGGCTCATTGTGAGGGAGAACAAGAATAGACCCACTGCCTCCCCCAACAAGCATGTCGGCATGCCATAGGAGTCAACACACTGGGAGCTTCCTCTGAAGTGGGAGTTCATCTGTGATCATCTGCCTAAGAGACAAGGAACAAACTATCTGCTATTAAGTCAGATCTGTTGAATTATGGATGTGCACACAACACTCAGATTCTGGAACAAAACTAAACTAAAATACTAAAGTTCACAGGTTGAAAAACAATCAGAACTTTTCGCCGGAGTTTAGAGCTGGGCAACGCGAAGAAGAACTCATCCACATACAATTACAGGCAGGAGTCTCAGTCTCACTTCCGTGTTCTCTTCGTCAACAAGTTAGAGGTTCTAATAACAAACCAATGAAACACAACATTACAAATTTTTCGCCTACCAATACGGACCTAGTTTTCCATTGAAGAATTTGTAATACTAATATAAACACGGTTACTTACGCGGGTTCAGCCATCCCCAAACTGGCCTGTACTCGAAATGGAAAATCCACCAACAGCCATTGTACCGTTTGCTTAGGTAATCTTTATAATAGGTCCAGTCATTGAAGCAGACTTCCCACAAGCCCATACGGACGAAGACTTTACTCATTCGTTTATATGGGAATCTTTCTAGCCAGTGTGGTGTGGCAAAAGCCACAACCATGCAAATAAAGCCACATATTGTGAACAGAAGTCCGAAGGTTGCTATAAAACGCTTTGCCCTCTTCAGCGCCATATTAAAATGTTACCTGTCCGTTTCTTAGGCCAGGAGATTTCAGCGTCTGAAGGCTAAATCTGCGTTTTATCCTTGCTTGTACTTAATCAGATGTCATAAAAGAGTACAGTAGTTGAGATCAAATTAAAAATTTGTGAAAATTAAAATTGTGGTACATTATTTGTAGTTTTAATATTATCTGCTTAAAATGTTAATTTGTATTTATGAGTTGGCTTTAAAACATAAAGCTGGCAGGTCTACCTGTGGAAACGCGGAAGTAACTTGAAAACGAGGCCGTTTCTCACCTGGGCGACCTTAGATTGTGAGCTATCCAGGTGACACATTTTTAGGGAGAATAGCATATTGAAATAATCTTCTATCCCCTAGACGGAATACTTCATAAATATATTTTACACAAATATACAATACATTATTAAGTGGCAGGTGCATAATTACCGAACTGTTAATTATATTTTCGCACTACCAATGACCCTAATTGTAAACACATCCAAAAACCCCCATAAATACAATAGGACAGTCCACAAAGGGGACACATCGGAAACGACAGAAAGAAAATAACAGCGCCTACCTTGTAAAATGGCCACCGTCGCGTTGTATCGTATAGCAGTCATCAATGCTGCCATCGCTTTTTGTTTAATGTTTATTGCCTTTGCCTCCCCGTACTGGTACAAATCATGGACCCGAGTCTTCAGCCCATTCGGTAACATCGGCATGTGGCATATCTGTCTAAATGGATACATTAAACCCAGGGATCCGGTTATGAAGTCCTATGTGGGTTGTTGGTGGATCCACTCTACGGAGTTTGAAGATATCGTTGATAAAATAATGCCTGGTAAGTGGTGTTATATCTACAGTTACTATGTGAGCATTTTAGCCCCACAATCTTACACTCGCATTTAATTTTACTTTAATCTTAGAACAGTTTTAGATCTCGCGGACATTGGTGAAAGTGCTAAAGTTTAAGAACTCTGTGACTTCCGTGTTTCTTAGTTCTCTGGTAGAATAACTAATAGATAGCATTTGTTCCAGCTTCATAGTAAACGGATCACTCCATAGTTGCTGCGTTCCTGTGCCCATAAAACCACCAGAATATCCAACATGGGAGAAAAGTGATGCAGACTGAATGCAGATCCAAAAACAGTATCAGACTGAGAAACAAGATTTATTAATATTATGTCCTGGAGGGAATGAGGCACCTGGGGATGTAACCAGAGGGTCTGGTCTGCTCACTACACTCAGGGGAAAGGCAAGACGGACATATAACCAAATTGTGACTGGTACCATTAGTATTGAAACTCCGTACTGGCTGCTGAAGATCAGGTCAGAGCGCACATGGGAATACCCCGAGTACTGTGATTTCAATTCTTGACTCAGCTTTACTTTATTCAGATCCAATAGCATACACTGTACACATTCAGAAGTACTAACACCAAACACACAGTTTGGCACTAGGAATGCAGTTCTCATAACGTCAATGGATGCAGCCATTACAACATATCAGCAGCTGCACATGCAGTTAATCGCCTAAGGCATCACAGGTTCTCTGACAACAATATAACCAGATTGTGACTGGTGCCATCAGTATTGGAACTTTGGGCTGGCTGCTGAAGATGAGGATGGAGCACACATGGGAATGCCCTGAGTGCTGTGAAGTCAATTTTTGACTTAACTCTGACAAGCTCTTGTCATTGAATATAAAATGGGATAAATTCAATTGGGGTGAAGGACAAATAAAAATTTCTGGACAATTACTTGTAATAGATGTTATAAGATGTGGAACTAAATTTGACACGCCCGTTCTGAGCAAAGAATCGCCAAGCAGGCACTAAAATGGGGGAGGGGGGGAGTGAGGTCATTTCAAGGAAACTCTAAAACGAACGATGAGAGAAGCTGAAGGTATTGGACTGAATTCCATTCATGGTATTGAAGAGACTGTGCGCAATAGAATGGATAAATACTAGAAACAGCAGATCAAGTGGTTAGGCCATCTCTTTAGGTTGCAGCAACATCACATGCACTGAGAAGATCAGTGACAAAAGCAAGAAAATGGCCACCAAAATGATGATGGATTGACAGCATTAAAAACACTTTCTGCTTTCATGGCATTACAATAGCTGGTGGTAGTCAGTGTGCACTGGATCCCAAATTATTCCTCCACACAATGCTTAATAGCAGAACTGGTTTATGGTAATCAGTACAGAGTGGAGAACGAGGCTGTCACCCTGTTTGATTGCAATGTGCTCTGCTAGTGGTGTGTTTTGGTAAGCCACATTGCTTTCTGATGAACAGGAAGTTGTAACGACACAGCAGAGATGAATATTGAGTTACGTGCTTTTATTCGGTGAATCACCACATATCGTAGGGACAGATTCTCCCGTCCTCGTGTTCGTTCTGCTAGGCTGATTCTGACGGCCTGGTCAAACTTTCCACACACTACATCGATCCGTCAGCGTCTTTCGAACCATCCATCCTTCACGAAACCTTGTGCTCGGTATTAAGACATGTGGGAAACATTCATTTCTCCTCTCGAAATATAACAATCATTCACAATTTGTTCATTCTTCTCAGGCGTCCTTTCATCCGACCTCTCGCAACCACTTCCGAACTTCAACTGTCTTACTCTCGTCTCTTGGTTCACGTCTTCCGTTCCAGTCCCATGCTTTTCTTTTATCCCTTATTTCACTCACCATGCGATACACGAGACCCACTTATCTCGTTTTTCTCTTGTTTCACTGGTCCTCCGACCTTGTCCTCCCCATCGGGAACTCTCTGGGATTTCCCCGGGAATTCACAACATTACATTGATATATAATACCACAGTGACGATGGGGACCAGAATGGAATAAAATAGACTGCCAGCCCTGTGTGACATACAAAGCTACATCAGAACAGTGAGGATCTGAGGTCCTAGGTGGTTAGCATCTTCGGATCCAATATTGAGGACTAGGCATGGCAGACTTTTTTTTTTTTTTTGCTACAGACAGCGCTTTGCTAATGCAGTTTCCACATATGAATGGAAATCTGCGGTTTCGCTGCCTGAGCTACTGAGTTTAGTGGAATGCCTTTCATCTGTGCAGCAGTGGATTTGTGATATTCAGTATGGCTGGTAGTCGGTTTAAGTGGTCTGGTGAGATGCACAACTGCAGTGAAGTTGAACCCTTGCCGTAGACTGCCCATATAGCTGTGTTGGGAAAGTAAAAAAGCAGACAGACTGGCTGGTTCTGCGCCATTTAGTGGTACATTTATGCATGATAACCTGGATGTTATCAATGCTGATTGGGAGCACTGTGGAAGCACAAATAAATTGTCTCTGATAATCCTGAGAAGAAAAAAAATCAAAGTGCATCTGACAAAGAACCAAGAGCCTGCAAACAAATAAGCTAGAAACTGTATAATGGGTGTACATATATATAGTTGGATGAGACCAAACTTGACAAGTTGACGGGCAACTAGAACGTTCCCAACCAGTGAGTCCCCATGTAGGTTCTGGTGCCCTATTGCAGTATCGACCCACTGCCTACCCACAAGCAAGTCGTAAGAACCGACTAATTGGAAGCTTCCTTCAAAGTAAGAATGCATCTACTTGAGAGACAATGAACCAGCAGTCTGCACACAAAAATGAGTCTGATCTGTAAAACGGATGCACATGCAGCACTCACCTTCTAGAACAGGACTGCACTCCAGAAGTAGATGAACAACCAGAACTTTCCGCCAGAGTTTGCAAATGGTGATCGCAAAGAAGAAGAGAGCAACGAAAGAAGGAAATAAAAACCAGAATATATAGCTTTTAAGCATGTAAATTTCACTTTTTATCCCTCAGTTTGGTTCCGGTTTATGCAAGCTTTCACCATCATTGTTTTGTTTGCGGACCTCTTTGGCATGGCCTTTGGTCTCTTGTATTTAACGGACGGGTTGAAAGCGAAGCTGTACAAGAACAGACCTCGGATGTTTTTTATCAACAGCGGTTTAATGTTGGGAGCAGGTAAGTTGAAGAAGTTTATTTCACATATATCTTTCTCTTCATTCGTCATTCAAGTGACAAATTTACCTTCTGCCTGTTTATAGCACATGCAATAATTGCAAGTTTTGGTCGACACATCGAACTTTATCTGGCATTTCGTTCACCAGCTTAACCTTCGCAGTTGGTTTTGTGGGACATGATGTAGTTTTTTTTTAAGTTGTCCTGTTTGTCCATTTCATTTCTTTGTTCACCAGCTGTAAGCTCTGGTGAAAAGTCCTGTTTGTTCATTCATTTACAATTTGGCTTTATGTCAGGGTTTGAGTTTTGCGTGCAAATCTGTTTTACTGGCTTATTTGTGTGCACTTGGTTGTTCCTGGCCACTCAGGCAGATGTATACTGACTTTGAAGAAAGTCCCGAAACAGTCAGCTCCTGCATCCTCCATGCTTGTTGGGGAGGCAGTGAGTTTATCCTTTTCCCCCACAATGGCGCCCTGGAACCATCACAGGATTTGTCTGCTGGTGTCGCCTCTGGAGAACACATCCAGGGCAACCATGCATAGGGCTGTTCGGCCCTCAAGAAAAGGCAGGGGAAGATCATGAGCATCCTCTTTAATCCAAGGAGGCTTCCATAAATGCAGAGCTAACCCATCATCCTCTGCTCATAGGCTCATCCAAGGAATCGTCACATTCTGCACATGACTGCGCAACCTCACATCCATAGGTCGAGCTTCCCACTTGTTGTGAGCTGGAGCCTCTGAAGATCAACAGGGAGTAGCAGGCCCATGACTTTCCTGACCACACAGTCTTCTCCGTCACATTAGACATCTTTAACACTGTTGCGTTGGGACTCTTAGAACAGTAGTATAGGAAAAGCATGTATTAGGTATGGCTACCCCAGCTTCAAGTGGACCGAATGGTGGTGGACATTTTAGCCTTACTGTCAGACAGTAGGGATCCCTGTATGGGTTCCAGGGCCCCATTGTGGGGGAAAACAAGAATAGACTCACTGCCTGTTTAAATGGGAGCTTGCTTCGAAGTCGGAGTACATCAGCCTAAGAGGCAAGGAACCAACATTCTGCATGCAGATGAATCAGACATGTGAAACGGATATGCACACAACACTCAGTTTCTGGAACTGAACTAGTCTTCAGAAGTTGGAGAACAACCAGAACTTTCTACCAAAGTTTAAAGCTGGTGAACGTGAAGAAGAAGCTTTGCCTAGTCATATAGAAGGACATTTTAACACTCAGGCAGGTGGAGCCAGTGGTAGCAGACATTTGAACCTTGTTTGTCACACTGAAGGATGCAAGGTTCTTTATTAATATTCTACGCCAGATGGCGTCACAGGACAGTTCAACATTTTAGAGGGTGGTAAGACTGAGTTTCCCAGCTTTCTGAGGCTTTTAACTGCGCCAAAACATCTAGATAGAACTGGCCCTAACCCCAACCCACCTCCATCCCAGAACAGAGTGCAGCCTAGGTACCACAACTGCATCAGTTCTCATTGTGCCTAGTGGCACATGAGGCTTCAGACTGCATGCAGCCTATCTACAACCCCATGGAATATTAGACTGTCCCTTGACCTGTAGATTTTTCCTGTTTGGGGTAGGATATTAATAAAGCACAGGAAGCAGTAATTATTTTGGGCCACTTTGTGAGAAATGTACAACCGGAACCTGTGACAAAAGGTTAATGGGCACAAACCAAATCAGAAATACAGGAAGACCAGGATAAAAAGATTATTGGAAGCCTTTTCACGTAGCATGGAGAAATGTAAATACTAATTCTGTACACGTAATTATGTTGTGTCCGTTTACAGCATGGCAGCGATATTTGCATCTTGAAGTGTCCCATAAGTTTCCATACAAGGGAAAATAATGTGCAGTATTAGTGGAAACCATTTGTATTTATATAATATATTCTGCATTACTGCCATAAAACAGATATGCAGGCAACACTCAGGTTCTGTAACAAGACTAAAGTCTAGAGGTGAATGTACTGCCAGAGTTTACTGCTGGTTACCTTGAAGAAGAAGACAACCATTGTGTTAAAAACACATATCAGTTCTTGTCCTCCAATACCGAAGAACAGTTGGAGTTGTGCTTTTACTGCTATTGGTGATGTGAAGAAGGGATGGAATTATGCTTTTAATGTCATTGGTGATATGAAGAACAGTTTGAGTTATGCTTTTAATGCCATTGGTGATACATTTTTTCTTCCTAAGTATGGGGACTTCCATACGTGCTATTTGAGATTGTAAGAATATGATTTGTTTTGCAGCTTTTCTGGTGTTTATCATTGCCCTTGTATTTGCTGAGATGAGCAAGGACGACGACTGGATGCCAAGACCATGGATGAACTACCTGTCCTGGAGCTATGGTCTGTGTGTGTTGTCAGGGTTTCTGTCAGCCTTGAGCGGGATGTGCTACTTTGTTCTTGGCTTGGTGTATAAGGTAATCTGTGTTTTTATTTTTTTTTTTTTTTTATATGGTAATATTTTTTTCCCCGGAGAAGGCAAACTGAAACTTTGACACCCAGTGCAGGAGCTTCTATATATTCTTCTTCGTATTTACTGGCTGTAAACTTCACACGAGAAAAACTCTGTTACTTGAAAATATCTCCATATAATTTTGGACTGCTACTTTAATATTTCTTTGTTTTATTTCTTTATATGTGAAAACAAGAGTATGACTTTTAAAATATAATTTATATATATTCTTTTGTTTGTTATTGAATTAAGTGTATGGTCACTTACTTGGCTGGCTGAAAGAGCTAAGACATCATCTTTTATCCAGCACTACTATAATACTCATTTTTGGTGAGTACCGGCACCTTATTGTCTAGGGGAAGAATTAATGAATCAGGAATTGATATCATCGCACTCGGGGTATTCCCACAGGTGCTCCATCCCCTTCTTCGATAGCCAAGAAAGTGTCAAAGGCTCTAGAGGAAAAGCCCTGGATAACACTGTGGCTGTACATGTTGCTTTTAAGGAAAAGCCCTGGATAACACTGTGGCTATACATATTGCTTCTAGGGCAGTGTTTCCCAAACTTTTCTTGGTCGCGGCACCTTTTTTCAATTAAAATTGTTCCACAGCGCCCTAACCTATGTAAAAGTATGAGTATTTGTGTCTTGGTTAAATTAATTATGAAGCATTTACAATATTTCACGACACCCCTGTGAAGAGGTCGCGACTTCCCGGGTTTCCACAGGGCACAGTTTGGGATCACTATTCTAGGGGAGAACCCTGGATAACACTGTGTCTCTACATGTTGCTTCACACCGCTCACAAATTTGTATTCTCTAATTCTCCATTATCAGGACAAGGAAGAGCACGGAGATCCAGGTGTCACTTCTGCAGCTGAACTTGCAGCCAAGCGCCGTCAGCTGGAGAAACAAGATGAGGCCATGAGATCACAACCGAGTATGATGGCTGAACTGGATCCGCCACTATCTCTGCAAGGAGTCAAATATCGCCAGCCTCACTATCAGCAGCAGCCGGCTTATCAAGACAAAACTGACTATGGCAAAGCTCCTCCTGGGAAAGCTCCGTCTGTAACAGGGTCACAGAGCAGAGTTGGGGAGTCTGTAGTTTAGCATTGTGTTTTTCTTGTAAACATGTGTTGTGGTTGTTTTTGAATGAGTTTGGAGGCAAGTGAGATGTGGTTCTTGAGAAGAGAGTTGCCAATACCTTGGACTGCCAGAATAACTAACAGTGATTGCCTGGAAATGGTTAATGAAAGTAAAACATTTTATACAACAATGAGAAGATCCAACACAGTTTTTTGGTCATGAGATGAGAAAAGGAGCACTGGAAAATATCGTGACGACTGGAAAGATAACTGGTAGCAGAGGCAGACCAAGAGAAATGATGGTGGCTGGTTTATGACTGTGACATAGAAGATCATTAGTGGAATTGATCCAGAACACAGAAGACAGGGATCTGTGGAGATGCTTGAACCTCTATGCCAGCTGGCAAGGCACTTGAAGATGATAATATATTTTGTGGAAAAGAACAGTGCAGGGCGATTCTTGACAGTTTTTTGTCATGGCATGGAGGGGTGTCACCACATGAACTGATGCATGCTGTTGATGTTTGCAGATTGTGGAGAGGCAACTTCGCCCACTCCAATCGGCAAATTATTTGATGATGATAATAGTTTTATTCACAGTCTCTATTATTTGAAAATATTTTGATATAATTTTGGAATGCTACTTTAATATTTCTCTGTCCTCGTTCTTTATATTTGAAAACAAAAGTATGACTTTTTAAATATATTCTTTTGTTTGTTATTGAATAAAGTGTATGGTTACTCACTCTTGGTGGGCTGAGAATATCTGCAGATGTAAAAACTCCTGCTGAAGTGTTTATCTGAGGTTGTACTTCAAGTATATTTTTATTTTTCTGTTTGTTATTATCCTATCTCAAAATAAAATCCTCACCTTGCTCAGTCCGTGGCGACAGCACTAGCCATGCGGCCGTAAATCCTCAGACTTAAAGACCCCCCTTCCTACATCACGAAAGAATATTATCTAGTCTTTCATTATTTTAGTCAGGTGCCAGTTAGAATTTTTTTTTTTAATTGTAAAGATCTATTAATTCTAATTTGGCTTTTCTAAGTTCTTCAAGTGTGAAAAAATATAGTCATTTGTATCAGTTTGATCATGAGGTATTTAGCTCCTTGCCAGTGCCTTCGTAACATCTTTTTTTATTTTTTTTTTTTCGTGATGACTGGTCCTCAGAGGGGACACAGGGTAAGCATGTGTGCACTCCCTGTCTCTAAGGAGACTTTTATTAGTGCAAAATTAAATGTGATGCTTTTGTTCTAGATTCACTGAAGGAATCATTCATGCTCTGAACAGAAAGACAATTAAATTAACGCTGGGAAGGAAAACAAAACAGCTACAGTCGAGTCCACTTAAGTCGAATTTCGGTTAAATCGGCATGACCAGCTTAGTCCCGGCAATTTTCTCAATTGTGTGTGCTGTCTGGAAAAGTAGAAATCCTGATAAGTGGAAGCATTTGTTTAGGTCCCTGCGACTTCTACTTATCCAGATTCGACTGTATTCAGTCTGTCAGAAGAATGGAGAATTGGGTCAGTAGTGACTACTGCTTACTTATCCATGGACAGGTCGTTATGTTATGCCTTAGAATGTAGTATAGCACACACAACATAGGCATTGTCTGAGTTGTTCATCATAGTGCTTACGTGGGCTGTGTGAATAAACCATAGAACATATCCTGCAAAAGCGTTGATTGTTCATTCCATTAAAGCAGAAATACTGTCTTAACTCTTTCAGTGCCTGGCTTGCTAGTGTAGTTGGCTAAATTGGACTGCGCACCAACCAGGTGATGAACTCCTTGTGGTCTGGGTTCATGCCCGGGTTTTTTCAGAAAAGCCACATTCCTCCCAGATTTACGGTATCTATCATGGAATCAAGGCCGAAGGGTTGCGATATACATAGTACTGAGCCAAAGGGTTAACAAATCATAGTTTCTGAAAACTTTTTTTAAAAAAAAAAACATCTTTAAGACCTAAGGACAATTAAATCTATAATATAAACCATAAAATTCATGTATTTGTCGGAAAACTTGCAATCACGCTGGCTCCTCTATGATGAGGCATAGACGGGTAAAACTTACAGGTACCAGTCTGGTTACCGTCTTCACAAAAACAGTCATATCTACAGCCATGGCTTCAACAGTCACACTCAAGGTTACATTTTGTTGAGAGTTATATCCCTTGCAAACTAATGTGTCGTTATGTCCTCTGGCTGTGTATAAATAAACCGCATGGGCAATTACTCTAAGTCACAGGTTTGGCACATTCTCGTATTAAGTTGGCATATGGCTGTAGAATCTGATTTTAAAACAAATTTTGTTTAACTCTACAGCAAAGTTGGCATTTATGGCTTGGCGTTGCTAACGCGCTTCGTAGTGCCAGGTTCAATCCCACCTGCCAGCCTTGCGTTGGTTTTGACAGTGGTATTGAGAAGCTGACCATCCAGAAAGCAATGGCAAATTTCTGGATGTAAATTTTCCTAGAAAAACCACACCAGGTAAAAAATGCTGGGGTTGGTTCTGCAATAGCCTGTAAAGGATACAGAACTAATTTTAACTAACTCTACAGCAGATTAAACCTTGTATGGTATGGTATTCCTTAGCAAAGTATTAAGATAAAATGAATGAGTACAATTAATTAGATTGAATGTAGATCGCTTTACTCTGTCCCGAAGAAAATTAAATCTAGTTATAGATCAACATTCTTTGCTACTAAAGGCATTAATGAGTCAGTAGAATACTTAGTTGTATGGACTTATTAAAAAAAACAGTCAACTTTATCATTAAAATTCTGTCGGTAAAAACATCAAGGGTGAGGTCACAAGAAAAATCTTCATTTTGATGTTTATCAGCTATAAAATCTGGCAGAAAGCTCTGGTTGTTTGTCCACTTCTGGACTTTGGTCTTGTACCACAATTTGAATTTTACATGCACATACATTTTACACATCTTGCTTACTCGTATGCAGACTGTTAACTCCTCAACTTTCCGGCAGATACGCTCCGGTTAGTTAGAGTTTTACAACTTTATTTCTAGAGTGCATATTCTTTGTTCCCTGACAGTGGGAACATTGTTGAGTAAATATGCACATTCTCGCTGTTATTAACATTGTTTGATGCCCAACCGTTTGCAACATTCCATATTTTTCCTTTATCGTTTTACGGAATAATAGTCAGTCAGAGTTGATGTTCATTTTATTTTGTAGATCTTTAAAACATTCATTCCTATTTCAAGCAAGTTCAGTAACACCTTGTGTGCTATTACCTCTCTATATTTATGTTACATTTATTAATTGTTTTATTTAATTGAACTTCTTTGGTACCAAGTTTTCTTAATTTAATGTTTTTCTAAGAAGCAGTTGATTTAAACAATTAATGTCTGAGTCTAAAAAGGTACAGTAATAACACTATCGGACAGCTGAGTTAAGATTTACCCCCCCCCCCCCCCCCCCCCCCCCCCCTAAAATTTACAAAAACATAAAAACATGGCCGGGTAGGTTATTCAGAAAAGTTATCTGGGTAAAAAGAAATTCAGAAAAGTACAACTTGTTAGTTGAATCCAACAAGCGCAAGGTGAGCTGCTTGGTAGTTAATGTAATTGTTGAGTTCATATTCCAACATATTAATTTAACAAAATGTCAAACAATATCTAGAATATTTACTTACTTATCATATATTTGTTCCTTTGTAAATAAACCTTACTATGTACATTTTATCAAACATAAATATGTCGCCTGTGTGTCATAACTGGCCTCCAGAGAGCGCAAATAATAGGGACACTGCATCCTTTCAGGCATGTCGTAAGAGGCGACTAAGGGTAAGGTTGGGCGTAAGGCTGGCTTCCTCATCCTGAAAAAACAGTAGCCACAACCAGCCAATCATGGGACAGTATAATTAGAATGTCATTGCACTGGAACCCACAGGGGCACAGAAATAGAGGAGGACCAAAGAACACATGGAGAATGGACCTAGAGAGTGAAAAATAAATAGGGAGGACATGGGGAGAGCTGCAGGTGATAGGGAAAGATAGAACAACCTGGCATCAGTTGGTTGAGGGTCTATGCTCCATTGGGGGCAAGAAAGGCAGAAGAAGAAGAAGCATAAATATTTTACATTTCAGAGTACTGAGCCGAAAGGTGCAGATACCACAACCTAGTTACAAACTGCAACACAATGCTCCAACTTTCCTTTTGAGAGCCAAAGTAGAAAAAGAGGTCACCAGGTCATGATTCAGCTGGGATCAGGTCAAGGCTGTGAATATTTCCAGATGGATTTTAGCTCTTTCATTGTCAACTTGACCATCCAGGACAGAGTATGAAATCTTCTTCGTGTTCACTGGCTGTAAACTCTGGCGGAAAGTTTTGGTTGTTCATCCACTTCTTCCTCTTCTTTGTTCACAGACTTAACTCCAGTGGGAAGTCCTGATTGGCCTGTTTGTGCCATTGAGTTTTGCATGTACATCTGTTTTTACTGGCTTATTTGTGTGCAGTTGGTTGATCCTTGCCGCTTGGGCAGATGCATTCTGACTTCGAAGAAAGTCCTAGTTAGTTGCCTCCTGTGACATGCTTGTTGGAGAAGCAGTGGTTCTATCCTTGTTTCCCCCACAATGGAAATTATTAGTGTGGAACCCACACACGGACATCCACTTCTGAACCTAACTTTAGTCTTGTTCCAGAGCCTGAGTTTAGCATGCACATCCATTTTACAGATCAGGCTTATTTGTTTGCAGGCTGTTAGTTTTAATGTCTCTCTGGCAGATGCTCTCCAAATTCTCAGGAAATTTCCTTAATTAGACGCATGTGTCCTTGTGGGCTATGTGTGCAAACATGTCCTGCAAGAATGTCCCTTGTTCAGCCCATTAAGAAGGGAATACTGGCTCAGTGAGTCACGACTGCACGCAAAGTTGTACAGGACTAAAAAGGAACTTATAAAAACAGTCAAGTTTATCACAAGAACCTGTCTGTCTGTGTAAATCAGAAATGGAACACAAGAAGAAGAAGTCGCATTTTACATGCTTGTTAGGGGATGTGTGTCAT